AGGCCCCAGAGAGCAGCAAAGTGTTGGATCAACCTCCCGTGTGTCTCACACTGAGATGGGATTGGACTTCAGGATCCCTGGTCCCACCACATCCTCTCCTGAGTCTCGGTCTCCCTGGAGAGCCATGGGCACCCACTCCTGCTGCTCTGTTCACAGCAATCATAGATCACAGTGAATCATTAGTTTTCATAGAATCATAGAATGAGTGGGGTTGGAAGGGACCTCTAAATGTCATCTAGTCCAGCCCCCCTGCAGTGCACAGGCATCTTTTTGACTACATCAGGTTGCTCAGAACCTGGACAAGCCTGACCTTGAATGTTTCCAGGGATGGGGCCTCCAGCACCTCTCTGTGCAACCTGTTTTCTGTGGGTGCTGCAGGACTGAGCATCTGAGCAGCAGGGTGCCCAGCTGGCCCGGGAGGCCCATGGCATCCTGCTTGTGTCAGGAATGGTGTGGCCAGCAGGAGCAGGGATGTGATTCTCCCCTTGTGCTCAGCACTGGGGAGGCCTCACCTCGAGTTCTGGGTCCAGTTCTGGGCCCCTGACTGCAAGAAGGGTCTTGTGGAGCTGGAGCAGGTCCAGAGGAGACAATGAGGTGAAGGGACCAGAGGATGATGAGGAGAGGCTGAGGGAGCTGGGGTTGTTTATCCTGGAGGAACTCGGGGGACCTTCTCACTCTCTTCAACTCCCTGAAGGGAGGTTGTGCTCAGGTGGGTCTGGGCTCTTCTCACAGGTAACCAGTGACAGGCCCAGAGGGCCTGGCCTGAAGCTGCTCCAGGGGAGGTTTAGGTTGGATATCAGAAAGCATTTCCTCATGGAGAGGGTGATCAGACATTGGGATGGACTGTCCAGGGAAGTGGTGGAGGCACCATCCCTGGAGGGGTTCAGGGAAAGACACTTGGTGCCATGGTCTGGAGATGTGGGGGTGTCAGGTCATGGGCTGCACTTGGCGATCTCAGAGGGCTTTTCCAGCCTTGGTGATTCTGTGATCTGGTGATCTCCAGTTCATCTCTAGCAAGGGTGTGTACTTGTGTCCTCAAAGGTTAAAAGTTGTTGTAAGTGTTGTCAAATAATGAGTCATCTCTGATTAATGTTTGACTCTGCAGGCATAGGCACTAGGACCCTGGGAACCCGCATCTGCCGCCCTCACCAGAAAAGAAATCAGGAAATAACGCAGTAGCTCTTTCTGGGAGCTCCTCCTTGAAAATGAACCTTTGCTGCTCCATATGAAAGCGAATTTACTCGCCAGCAATTCAGGAATCCAAGCCCCAAACGTCGTGTCCCTCAAGCCCTGGCTGGAGGTGTCTGGGAGGTGAGTGCCAGGGACTGCGGGAGCTGCTGGAGCAGGTGACGTGGTGGCACCTCTGCTGTGTTGGTGGAGAGGGCTGCAACTGGGCTGTAGCTCTGTGGTCAGGGAGGACGGTGGGCAGGTGTCACCTGCTCTTCAGCAG